TACAGCTAGATGGTGCCCGGCTACCACCACTGACTGCTCTGACCAGGATCACAATAGAGGGTCCTGGACAGAGCTGGAAAAGGATGTAGAATAGAATTCTAATTCACAAAAAAAGACCAGATTAGCTGGCCTGACAGACTGGAGAAACCCTGAGAGTATGGCCCCCAGACACCCTTTTAGCTCTGTGGTGAAGCCCCTCCTAAAGTTCACCGTTCAGCTGGAGATTGGACAGCCTCATAAAACAGAACAGGACTAATGAGGCACAGCAGTCCAGGGACAAGGAATAGAAGGCAGGAGGAGACAGGAAAGCTGGTGATAGGGAACCCAAGGTTGAGAAGGGGCAGTGTTGACATGTCATGGGGCTGTTAACCATTGTCATAGAGCAATACGTGTACTGTTTAATGAGAAACTATTTGTTCTGAAAACCTTCAACTAAGGTACAAAAAAAAAATTATCTATGTGAGATCAAATTGACAACAGCAACTCAAAAGGTTTGATGGGAAGCCTAGGGGACAGTGAGTTGAAGATAATGGTGATGGAATAATTTGGAAAAGGGATAGTGAGAATAGCAGTACAACTGGAAGAATGTAATCGATGTCACCGAATTGTACATGTAGAAACTTTCAAAATGGTGTAACTTTGGCTATGAATATTGTTACCAAAAAAAAGGTCCTCCAAGATCTAGAAGGGAGAGTGTTGACATGTTATGGGGCTGTTTACCAACATCATAAAACAATATGTGTACGGACTGTTTAATGAGAAACTATTTGTTCTGTAAACCTTCATCTAAAGTGCAATAAAAAAGTTTTTAAAAAAACACAATTTAAAAATGGGCAAATATTTGACAAACACTTCACCAAAGAAGAAATATGGATGGAATATAAGTACATAAAAAGATGCTCAACATTATTAGTCATGAAGGAAATGCAAATAATTAAAAATCACAAGGACGCTACTACATACCTATTAGAATGGCTAAAATGAAAAAAACTAACTATACCAACGGTTGACAAGGATGTGAAGGAACTGGAATACTCATTCACTTCTGATGGGAATGTAAAATGGTATCCCCAATTTGTAAAACAGTTTGGCACTTTCTTAAAAAGTTAAACATGTATCTATTATGTGATTCAGCCATTCCATGCCTAAGTATGTACCCAATAAAAAAGAAAGTACATGTTCATTCAGAGGCTTGTACATAAATGTTCATAACAGCTTTATTTGAACTAGCCAATAATTAGAAACAACCCAAATGTTCATCAATAGACAACTGGATAAACCCAGTGTAGTATATCCATATGTTACGGATTCAGTGGCATCCCCAAAAAAGATATGTTGAAGTCCTAACCCCTATACCTGTCAATGTGACCATGTTTGGGGAAAAAGGGTTTTTCTTTGCAGATATCATCAGTTAGCTTAACGAGGCCATATCAGAGTAGTGTAGGTCCTAATCCCTGAGGGGTGTCTTATGAAAAGGGAGAATAGACACGGAGAGAGAGTCACACAGTGGGGAGATAAACACTATGTGGAAAAACATTTATAATCCAAGGACCACCAAGAAATGGCAGGGTGACCAAGAGCTGGAAGAGATACAGAAGGACCTCCCCCTAGAGTGGACAGAAAGAGAGTATAGCCCTGCCAGCATCCTTAATTTGGACATCAAGTCTCCAGTACTGTGGGAAAATAAATTTCTGTTCTTTAGAACCACCTACTTTGTAGTATTTTGTTACAGCAGCCCTAGGAACTGCTCCATAGGGTTTTCTTGGCTGTAATTTTTATGGAAGCAGATCACCAGGCCTTTCTTCCACAGCACCACTGGGTGGGTTTGAACTGTCAATCTTTAGGTTAGTAGTCAGTGCAAAGCACTTGTGCCACCCAGGGACCTAACAGAATACTACTAAGCAATAAAAAAGAATGAACTATTGATACACAACACTGCATGAATAAATCTCAGAATAATTATGTTGAATAAAAGAAGCCAAAATAAAACAGTACATAACTTTTGACTCCATTTATATAAACTCTATAAAATGCGAACTATTATAGAGTGACAGGTTACTGACTGCCAAACAACAGGGTGGGAGGTGAGAAGGGCAGGAGGGAAAGATTGCAAACAGGCATGAGGGAACTTCTGGGGGTGACAGATGTATTCACTATCTTGATTTGCCATGATGAAATCATAGGTGTCTACATATGTCAACAATTATAAAATTATACACTTTAAATACATACAGTTTACTATATATGAACTGTACCTCAGTAAGTCTATTTCAAAGAAATGAAGGTAAGGAACGCTACTCAGTGATCATGAGGAAGTAACAGGGACCACATTTACCTTCCCACTGTAAACAACTGAAAAAAAAAAAATCAATGGACCAAATATGTGAAAAAATTATTTTAAGGCTTTGGACACCAGGCAGTTCAGGACATTCGTGACTGGATGGAGAGAATTTCCAGGGTGCATCTCATGAAAGTGGGGACCCAAATCTGGGCCAGCAGTCTCTTTGAGTTGAGGAAAGCGAGATCAATTTCAGGGAAACCAAAGCAGAATACTGGAGAAGACAGAGCTGTATAAAGAGAAAGCTCTGGAGTGGGAGTCTTCAGCTGAGAATGGTTCAGCAGATACATGTGAAGAAACTATCCAAGATCAGGGAACCACCAGAAGAAACGATGAGTCAGTATAGTACCTTGAGGTTGGAAAGGGATTCTCTCCAAGTCCTACTCCTCCTTGCCTCAATTCTCAATATTTGCTACATATCTAAAGATAAGTTCTCCAGTCAACTTGAGAAGGTGGCATTTTGATCCCCATCTGTCTATGTCCTATGACTCTCTCTATTGATTCTGAAATTCAAATACCAGGGAGGTTGTATTTTAGTAAGCTTCCTAAACCCTGACCATATGAAATTTAGCTTCACCTTGACAATAGCAAATGAAGATACTCTATATTTACCTGCCCAGGACTAAGATGAGTTCCACTTGATAAAGAAAGGGAGAAGTCCAAGCTGTCGGATCAGAAGCTTGACATCCATTTAAGGAATTCATTATTTACCTGCTGATCCTCTCTCTGACCTACTTACCCAAACAAGGCAGAACAGACCCTGCTGGAAGGAGCTAGAGTTGTCTGGTTAGGAGGAGGTTTCTGCAGCCAGAAAGTGGTCTGGGTGTCTGTAGCCAGCCCTTGACAATCAGTGATATAACTGGGCCAGTCCAATAAAGACAAAGAGGACCTGTCACTTGGGGAACTTCCCCTGGTTCATAGAGCAGTACAGGAGGCTGTTTTAGGGAAAGAGAAAGAATCAGGACTTCAGATAACCATGCACTCTTTTAGGGTGTTATCCAGTGCTTGTGATTCAGATATTGGCTGGAGCAGAAATGCAGGTAACTATTGGAAACCTTTGCTTCTACTATATTTCTGAAGTCATTTATTTATTAAAGCTATAAATAAACAAATGAGATAGGGAGGTTATCCAAACAAGTAGTTAAATGATTCAAATGTTTCAATACACTGAGCTGGGAATCAGCACTCTGTTAATCCAATCAGGATTATTTGCACAGTGTAGCCAGATTCTGATGAACCCTGATGGCACACTGGCTTGAGCGCTCAGCTGCTAACCAAAAGGCAGGCGATTCAAACCCACCAGCTGCTCAGCAGGAGAAAAGATGTGGCAATCAGCTTCTGTAAAGATTACAGCCTCAGAAACCCTATGGGGCAGTTCTACTCTGTCCTATAGGGTCTCTATAATGTAACATCCATACACCTATAAGGAAGACCAGTTGATACAACTATTATTCAAATTTATACACCTACCACTAATGCCAAAGATGAAGAAACTGAAGATGTTCACCAACTTCTGCTGTCTGAAATTGATCAAACATGCAATCAAGGTGCATTGATAATTACTGGTGATTGGAACACAGAAGTTGAAAACAAAGAAGGATTGGTGGTTGGAAAATATGGCCTTGGTGATAGAAATGATGCTGAAGATCGTATGATAGAATTTTGCAAGACCAAGGATTTATTCATTACAAATAACTTTTTTCAACAATGTAAACAGTGACACATGGACCTTGCTGGATGGAATACACAGGAATCAAGTCGACTACATCTGTGGAAAGGTATGATGGAGAAGCTCAATATTATCAGTCAGAACAAGGCCAGGCGCTAACTATGGAATAGACCATCAATTGCTCATATACAAGTTCAAGTTGAAGTTGAAGAAAATTAAAACAAGTCCATGAGCACCAAAGTGCGAACTTGAGCATATCCCACCTGAATTTAGAGACCATCTTGAGACTAGATTTGACGCATTGAACACTAATTACCGAAGAACAGACGAGTTGTGGGATGATACCAAGGACATCATATACGAAGGAAGCAAGAGGTCGTTAAAAAGACAGGAAACAAAGAAAAGACCAAAATGGATGTCAGAAGAGACTCTTAAAGTTGCTCCTGAACATAGAGTAGCAAAAGATATTGGAAGAAATGATCACGTAAAAGAGCTGAACAGAAGATTTCAAAAGGCAGCTCAAGAAGACAAAGTAAAGTATTATAATGAAATATGCTAAGATCTGGAGTTAGAAAACCAAAAGAGAAGAACATGTTTGGCATTTCTCAAGCTGAAAGAACTGAAGACAAAACTCAAGCCACGAGTTGCAATACTGAAGGATTCTATGAGCAAAATATGAACAATGCCTGAAGCATCAAAAGAAGACGGAAGGAATACACAGAGTCACTGTACTAAAAATTATTGGTTGAAATTCAACCATTTCGGAAGGTAGCGTGTCATCAGGAACTGGTATTATTGAAGGAAGAAGTCCAAGCTGCACTGAAGGCACTGGCGAAACACAAGACTCTAGGAATTGGTGGAATACCAGTTGAGATGTTTCAACAAATGGATGCAGTGCTGGAAGGCTCTATGACAAGAAATTTGGAAGACGGCTACCTGACCAACTGACTAGAAGAGATCCATATTTGTGCCCATTCCTAAGAAAGATGATCCAACAGAATGCAGAAATTATCGAACAATATCATTAATATCACTTCCAAGTAAAATTTTGCTGAAGAGAATTCAAAAATAGTTGTAGCAGTACATCAACAGGGAACTGCCAGAAATTCAAGCTGAACTCAGAAAAGGATGTGGAATGAGAGATATCATTGTTGACGTCAGATGTCAGGTGAAAGCATAGAATACCAGAAAGATGTTCACCTGTGTTTTATTAACTATGCAAAGGCATTTGACTGGGTGGGTCATAACAAATTACAGATAACATTTCGAAGAATGAGAATTCTGGAACACTTAATTGTTCTCATGCAATACCTGTACAAAGACAAAGAGGCAGTTGTTTCAACAGAACAAGGGGATACTGAGTGGTTTGAAATCATAAAAGGTGTGTGTCAGGGTTGTATCCTTTCACCATACTTATTCTGTCTGTATGCTGAGCAAATAATCTGAGACAAAGAACTATACGAAGAAGAACGGGGCATCAGGATTGGAGGAAGACTCATTAACAATCTGTATGCAGATGACACAACCTTGCTTGCTGAGAGCGAAGAGGACTTGAAGCACTTACTGATGCAGATGAAAGACTACAGCCTTCAGTATGGATTACACCTCAACATAAAGAAAACAAAAATCCTTACAACTGGACCAATAAGCAACATCATGATAAACAGACAAAAGATAGAAGTTGTCAAGGATTTCAGTTTACTTGGATCCACAATCAATGCCCATGGAAGCAGCAGTCAAGAAATCAAACAATACATTGGTCAAATCCGCTGTAAAAGATGTCTTTAAAGTGTTAAAAACCAAAGATGTCAGTTAGAAGACAGTCCTGGCGCACCTGACCCAAGTCAAAGTATTTTCAGTTGCCTCATATGCATGTGAAAGCTGGACAACGAATAAGGAAGACCAAAGAATTGATGCCTTTGAATTATGGTGTTGGAGAATATTGAACATACCATGAACTTCTAGAAGAACAAATAAAACTGTCTTGGAAGAAGTACAGCCAGAATATTCCTTAGAAGGCAAGATGTTGAGACTTCATCTCAAGCACTTTGGACATGTTATCAGGAAGGACCAATCCCTGGAGAAAGACATCATGCTGGTAAAGTAGAGGGTCAAAGAAAAAGAGGAAGAAACTCAACAAGACAGACTGACATAGTGGCTGCAACAATGGACTCTGAAATAGCAAGGATTGTGAAGATGGTGCAGGACTGGGCAGTGTTTTGTTCTGTTGTACATAGGGTCGTTATGAGTCAGAGCCTGCTCGACGGTACCTAACAACAACAACAAACATTTTTCCTCAAAGATGCTTAATTTTTGGATTTTTTTTAAATCAAACTTCAGCGACACTCTCAGATTGAGCTACCCAGAGATTTAAGTCCCAGATTCACCAACCTCAGTTATCAACCTGCCATGTGACCCTGAGCAAATCATTTAAATTCTCTGACCATCTGTTTTCTTGTCTGTCAACAGAGAAGTATTGACAAGATTCATGACATCATTTTAGTTTAAATTCTTTGGATTTGATGACTCAGTTAAGAACTTCTAATATCTCTATGCGCATACTCATGGGCAGCCACTGATTTTTCAAGAATTCTTCAATGAGAGATTTAGAATTTAGCTGCATAAATAAGAGGACCTATGTGAAAGCTTTGTTAAGTTCAGGTCCCATAACAGGAGGAAAAAGTAACCTAGGTAATAGGAAAGAAGTCATCCTTATATATTAGAAGTGTTAAATATGGCTGAACACTTCTGTTCAATAGATTTTAAAATCACATTGCTATTGTTGTTAATTGCCATCAAGTTGGGTCTGACTCATAGTGACCTCATATATAACAGAACAAAATGTTCGATGGTCCTGTGCCATCTTCATGATCATTGGTATGCTTGAGTCCCACCTAATGAAGTGGTGTTTATCAAAATGATCCAAAATAAGGTATGGAAAGTACCCTGGGATAGAGCTGACATCCAGGTAGGGGGGAGAAATAAGTAGATATGGAGTGTGGAGATCATGTCAACAGAGCCTAATAAGTCACCTAACACTTTACACGCACACATACACACACACACATACACACACACACCCCTTTTCATTCTTGTAACCCAATTATATTTTAAAAACGTTTTTGCTAAGCTCTGCTATACAGAAGGCATTGTTGCTTATTGCCTGGGATAAAATAACCTAGGAATTAGTAAGAAAAGATACCTGACAACAAAGAAAGTCCTTCCTGTTGAAACAAGGTCACATTATGACCATGATCTTGAAGAATACGAGATACCTGGTCCATCAGTAGACAATGGCTTCCACCTAGGAAAAATGTACAATTTCACTTTTATAAATATAAGAATAGAGAGTCTGAAGCTGATGGGGAGAAAACCAGGAGAGGAAGGGTAGTAAAACAGGGAAACTGGATAGTGAGCAGATGAGCAAGCTTCATCAGTCCCTCCATCTCCTTTTGGTAACCCTCTCAGCCTAGACACTCAGAGCCTGGCTCCCTAAATCCTTGCCCTATTACAATCCTCCACTGAAAATTTCTGTTCTGGGACCCAAGGTCTCCAAGAAATTGTGACGAGCCTCTCTGTGCCTAGAATTTAAGGAGTTCCTCATCCTGGAGGGCATGCTGCCATGAGTCTCATGGAGACATGAAATCCTAAAGAAATAACTGCATGGTGGAAATTTTGGCATGGTGCTGTTCCTGTGAATGTTTCTCACTAGACAATCAATCAGAGCTATTTCTGAGACCCTCTCTTTGGAAATTTATGCCACTATAGGAGCCAGAAATATGGGAGCTACAAAGTGAGTCCAAGACCCAGCCATTGGAAGAGAAAGAGGTGGAGCCACCGCTTAGAGCCCAAATCTTTTTGGTTTGACTGTATTTGGCAGGAAGGTTTTCAATTTGAGCCTGAACTTTCCTCCACTTGGAATTAAGATATAACAGGACAACTGTGTGACGTAGTGTTAATCTGCTGGATAGTATTTCTATGAAAGACCAAGAATCACTGCTCATAGGGCAATCCCAGGATCCTCAAGAAAGAGAAGGTACAAGTTCCACCACACCAGTATCTCCTTTTGCTAGAATAAGAACCCCAGCAACAGAGAAAGGCAGATCAGGAGAAAAGGAAATAGCAAAGGCCAAGAGTTGGGGTGAGGGGGTGTTAGGGAGCTGAAGGTCCTGATGATTTTGTAGCTGTTGGATTGACTCAGTATTTTACATGAAGATTTATATGGTCTAGGGTAGGAAGGGATATATATACACTACAAGTCCCCCTACACCTTACACTGCCTGCTTTTGCTGTTCATTTTAATCCATGTAAGAAATGGGTGCTAGGGAGAATGGACTCAGCCACTCATGGTGGGTCTTGTTGGGCAAGGCTGCACTCAGGGGCAAAGAAGTGGCTTTCAGCTCTGTTTCAGTAGTCTAGGCACTCCTTGGAAACCCTATAGGGAAGTTCTACTCTGTCCTATAGGGTTGCTATGAGTAGCAAGAGCGTTCTGACATGATCTTGCAAAAGATGCTTCAGTTCCCTGACCCTCAGTTTCCCTCTCAGGAAAACCAAAGAAGGGGCTAAATTCGATGAACTCTAAGGTTCCTTCCAGCTCTAAGATCCCCAGATTCTTGGTGATCTAAAACTGACCTAAAGGAGCCTGGGAGACTTTCAGGATGGGTTGAATAAAGGCCTTGGAGAAGCTAGACCCCATAAAGACCTCTTTTTCCTGAGATATTCCCTCTCTTCTTCCATTCTCTTTACCACAAAAATAAAGGAAATAAAACCGGGGGCACAAAATGCAGAACTAAGAGCTCCACGTGTCACCAAAACCTTACAGCACAAGGGTGAAAGGCAATGGGGCAGAGAAGTCCCGATTGCTCCCGGGTTCCTCTGCTCTGCTCTCTGCTCTCTGCTTATACTTTCTCAGCTCCTCCTTCGCATCGGTTGTGTGTAGCTTCAGAAAACTTGTATTACTGCCCCCAGGAGGACTCTCTCCTGGGCGCCAAGAGCTTGCTAACACTCGCTGCAATGTCTACTGGCAACGGCTGTGCACTCTCCCTCCCCCATGAAGTTTAGGATGAGCGCCTACTCGCCCTCTCAGCGCGTCTAGAGCAGGAAAAGGGAAAGCAAGGGACAGTACTGTTTTCTCCAGAATTATCTTCTCCAACTCGGCAGGCGGAGCCCCCTCCATGCCCCCGCAGACCAAGCTCCTCTCGCTCCTCCCTCCCAGCCACCAGCCCCACTAAGGAAACATCCTGGAGTGTCCCTCTGCGCGTGCTGGGTCCCAGCGTCCTTGAGCAGGTTCGAGACGCGCTGGTCTCTGGATTCCCGGGGGCCAGCACTCACCCATCAAGGATGCAGTCAGGATTTTGGCGGCCTCTGAGAGCAGGGCTCCAGGCAGAAACAAGCAGAAGAGAAACAGCGCCTGCTGCGCAGCCATACTCACTCCTCTGGACGCCGCTGAGTCCAGCGCCCAGCAAAGCGATCCTGTGCGCCCTCAGGCGGGACAGGGAGCGTGAACCACAGGCTGAGAGCTTGGAGCGGGGGTAAGAGTTGAGATCCTGCCTTTCGTCTCTTGCTTTTGTCCCTCCTGCCCCAGTTCTTGCTCGACTGACTATTCTGTCCTCGCCCTACCAAACCACGGGACTAAGAAGGACCAGTTAGCGAGCTAGATCCTTAACTTCGCTCTGCCCATGTAGTCAATGTCCTTCCCGTCTAGGAAATTCAAAGAAATCAGGTCGATTACAGCTCCACCTGGAAGTGACGTGCACCCATCGCTCTTTTATGGGCCCTTTCCCTAATTTATAGTACCCCGTCTCCCTTCTAACTGCCTCCATTTACCTTATTCTGCCATCCCTACCCTCCATTTCTCCAGGTATCTGCTTAAACTCTCTAGGTAGTGTCCCAAGCTAAAGAACTCTCTGGAAGCTCATCTCCAGGAAAAAGGACGACGCTAGTCCTGAATTATTTCTCTGAGGGTCTCTTTAAAAGGAGCAGATTCGTGAAAAGGTACTAGTGTCCTGATGTGTTGAGCACCTCTGGAAGTCTAGGTCTTTACTTGGAGGACTGAACTCTAAAACGGAGACTATAATTCTGAATAAACATCAGAAAATAGGATTCGGGAGCTTTCTATAGTCTCCCCGACTACATGCTACCCCCTTGTAAGGTCAGCCTTGGGGAGGAGAAGGGCTACCTCCTGAAGCTATCTTTGCATTCTCTGCCCTCAAAACAGGCTGCTTTTAGTAGAGGTGCAACTGTAAAACAGGAAAGCACCCTTCAGTGGATTCTGTCTACAGAATGAAGTGATCCCTTGTATTCTGGTTTGTACCATTATTGTCTTCTGTCTACAGGTCTTATTTTTTCATCTGAAGTTTAAGGATTATGTATTTACAATTTGCATAATTTTCACATAGCCATGTCTGTTTTGGTGAGGCAGAGATAGGCGATGGATGGATGGGTGGGTGGGTGGGTGGTTGGATGGATGGGTGGAGTTTTTACAGGCATCACAAGACTCCAGGCCATCTATCACTTTATTATTCTTGTTCATATCATCATGGATTTGTTTGTTAAATAACTTCAAACTTATTCATTGATTCAACAGTTATATTGATAGCTAATTAAACGTCAGGCAATGCTCCTCTGTTGGATAGAATCATGCTTAGCACAATAATAAAATAGGTAGAATGTTAGTGGCAAATGTTACAAAGAAAAATAAAGCAGAGAAGGAGATATGAGGATTCAAGTATCAGGTACTGCTCTCTTATATGCTGTGATTCAGATGAACTCTAAAAATTTTTGTGACTATCAGAGGAATGTGAGCACAATATTTGATAGTAACTAGTTACCGTTGATTTGGAGAAGTGCTTTAAGGCTCTTGTGGTTATATAAAAAGGGAGCCCTTATCTCTTAGGTATGCATTCTGAAACATTTACAGATGAAGTGTTATGATGTCTAGGATTTGCCTCAAAATAATTTTTTGGGGGGTGGGGAAGAGGTTGAAAGTGGGTGGGAATACAAAGGAAAGAAAATTAGTCAGAAGTTAGTAATCGTTGGAGCTGGGTATTGGGCACCAAGAAGTTCTACTTTTATAAATGTTTTAACTTTTTTTATTTAAAAGTTTTTTAAACTCTCCCACTATGATTCTATTTTCTATTGCAGTTCTCTCAATTTTTGTTCTATACACTTTGAGGCCACATCATTAGATGCATACACATTTTCAGATGTATGCATTTTAGATATTGCATCTTCCCAGTTTCAGGGACAATTAATCTTCATTATGAAGGTACCATTTTTGTCTCTTGTAATGCTTTTTGCCTTAAAGCCTATTTTGTCTGATAGAGTAATTGATTATAACCCGATTATCCCTTCTACCATAAGCACCCATAAAACTAGACAGAAATCAATGAGGCAAGTTTTCAGATGTTAGACACTAGGCAGTGTGTCCCCTGATAAGGGTGAGCCTCAGGATGTCCCCAGTTTGCACCTGCTCCTGAGGTACCTTTCCTGCCTGCTGTGCGGGGGGTCAGGGTTGGGGTGGAGCCACACAGGCTACAGTTGGTTTGCAGAATTAGGAGGTCAGAGGTAAAGTTCAGGACAACTGGGCAGAGTACCAGTGAGAAGACAGCTACATAGAGAAAGAGATCTAGAAATACGCATGAGGGCCCCCTTAAGTCTTTGACCAAATATTAGACTCCATAGGTACAGGGTGAGACTCCCTGAGCCCTGGCAGAACTGAGATTCCACAAATCTCTCAGTGCTGGGAGACATAGCAGTTCCAACAGGCAGAGGGAGACACCTCACAGAACACCTCAGGCATATGATATCTGTTTATCCCAATATTGGTGATATTGTTAAACTGGTATCTGTCTGCCAGGTTTCTCTATTCTAGTTACTATTTTCTCCCTTGTAATTACTGTGCAAAGAGATATTTTGAGATTCTGAAATATTATCAAACTTTTACCCACTGGATTTAGCATCCATGGATAACTCTTGCCAAATTAGTTATTAGTATGATGGTTGCAAAATGGTAATATTCTAAACCCATTATTTCTTCAATATTAATTAGATTAACATTCTACTCTAAGGAAGAGGGAACCTTGGTGGCACAGTAGTTAAAAGCTCAGTTGCTAACCAAAAGGTTGGCAGTTCGAATCCACCAGCTGCTTCTTAGAAACCTTATGGGGCAGTTCTACTCTGTCCTATAGTGTCGCTATGAGTCAGAATCAACTCGACGGCAATGGGTTTGGTTTTTTGGTTTTATAAGGAAGAGATTTCCTTTATCCCCTATCTGTTTTTCTATCATCTGTCTACTTTTTGTGAGTGGCAAGTCATGATTTTAATTTCATTGAATGGAGTATATAATTTCTTACTAACATTATTTATTTTGATGTTCAAATTGTCCCAGGGATGACAGTGGGAACCTCGTCAAGCTGAGTCCTGAGTAGATTTTTGTTGTTGTTTTTGAATATTGTTTTGTTCTTTAAAAACATTTCCATTCTTTTTTTTAAGCACTTCCTTACTTTGTGGGAAAAAAAAAAAAAACAAAAACTTGGGGGTTCTTCCCAGTCTTCTCCCTTTCTATATTGTATTTTCTTTCTCCAACAGTGAGAAACCTGGCTCCTGACATCTCCAATACATTTACGCATTTGCTCAATCCTACAATCAGAACATAGGTCCGGATTTTCTAACCCATACCACTGTTAAAAACAAACCTGCTAATTTGAGGTTAAGATTTATTTGTGGTTGCTTTTGTCTTTAGACTGAGGATATATATGTGTTCAAAAGTTACTTATGTTAATTAACTTCCCTTCATGTGGTTATGTTACTTATGGAAAAACAGATTCGTTTGTTTTTATTTTTATTATATTTTTGCCACCCCCATCCCTGTTAAGTAGCCCTGGTGGTACAGCGGTTAAGAGCTCAGCCGCTAACCAAAAGGTCAACAATTTGAATCCACCAGCCACTCTTTGGAAACCCTATGGGGCAGTTCTACTCTGCCCTGTAGGGTTGCTATGAGTCAGAATCAACTCAACGGCAACGAGTTTTTGGTGTCCTTGTTAATGTAATTTCAGTTTTTGACTATGTAAAACAATAACATGATCCCAACCATCAAAACTATCTCGAAAGAAGGTATTGCTTGCTCCCCACCTTTCCCTACTCCCACTGCCCCTCCCCTGTAGATAACCAAAATGATTATTTTCTTGTCGATCCTTCCTTATTTCTTCTTGAAAAAATAAACAGGTACATAGGAGGTACCATATCCTTTTACACAGAAGGTATATCCAAGAACTCATTCCATATCAGTTTGTAGAGCTCTTCCTAATTCTTTTTACATAGCTACATAGTATTCCATTGTGTGGCTGTACCATAGCTTCTTCAACAAATTTTCTATGTATGGACATTTATTTTCAATATTTTGCAACTGATGGCAAATAATGCTACAATGAGCAGATGTATTTTCATATTGTTGGAGGTGTGTTCGAGCTAAATTCCTAGATGTAGGATACTGGGTCAAAAAGTAAATGCATATATAGTTTTGTTAGGTGTTGCCAAATTTCCTTCCATGAGGTCCTACCATTTTGCTTTCCCACCAGCTATGCTGACAACGCCTGCCTCACCACAGCCTCAGCACAGTGTGTGTGCTAAATCTTTGTAATGTCTGACAATCTGATAAGTGAGAAATGGTATCAGAGTGTAGTTTTCATTTGTACTTCTCTAAAGAGAGTGAAGGAAAGCATCTTTTCATATGTTTAAGGACCATTTATAAGGGATGTGTGTGTGTGTGAATTTTATGTTCTTGACTTTTGCCCATTTTTCAATTGGGTTCTTTGTTAATGTTTTTCCCCTCAATTTTAAGAGTTCTTTATAGAAATGTGTTGTGAAGTCCAGTCTTGTAAATGTATGGGTTTTTTTTTTTGATGATGATGTTAGGAGTTTGCACCATCTAACTTTCTAGTTTTCTAGTTGCCCTATAGGAATCTATATTTTCCCCTTTTACTTCATTTTTCTTCATCACCCAATATCCAAAGAGTGCCTCCCTGCCTCCTTTATACCCTCTTCTCCCTCAGAAACAAAGCCTTTCGAAGACTGTTACCTTGGGTCCTTCATGCTCGTGTGTCCCTTCCCTGTGGTCAAAGCTTGATCGGGGACAGTTTATCAGAATTTGAATACATAATGTAGGTTTTCTCCTTCTTAGCACACTTTTAGTTCACCCTTAGGCTGTCTTTGGCCCTTCTCTCTTTTCTGCACTATTTTTCTATCAGTCACAATTGACACAACAGCAACTGGTATGGTTGGTTAGCTCCCTACCAACCACACCAGCTGCTGTAGCAGGAGTTCAGGAGAGAGTTCTGCCGAAATCTGGTACAGGCATACTTTCTTGCGTTTTGTTGATACTGCGTTTTTTCCAAATTGAAAGTCTGTGGCAACCCTGGGTCAGAC